ACGTGGGCTTGGAAAATACCTAACAGTCTGGATTCCCTCTCAGTAGAATGTGAGGAATGAAAGACACTAGAAGGCAAGCAGCACTCACTGCTCAAGTCAACTTTACTGATTACAGCAGGGAGGATGTATGGTGTTTTTCTATAGAGAAAGGATGAGGTCAGGAGAGTAAGACCATTGAGTAGAAGCTGTTGTGTTAGAAAGGGACTGGGAAGGGTACTCTACTAAGCAGCAGAGCTGTGATGCCTTACATCAGCTTCTGAGATGCTTCTCTGCTCTGCTGCTGCTGTGCTGTTCAACCTTGGGCATGTCATTTGGACTTTACTAGGCTTTTTAAGTTATCCTATGATGGGGTTGTTGTTTTGGGAAAGAAAGTTGCAACCAAGGGTGAAGAGCGTAGGACTCCAGGGATGAAAGAGTGACTAGTGCAGGGCTAGGTCACAAGGTCCTTGTAGCACCCCAGTTCCCTGCTCACCAAGTAGAAGACCTCATGATGTTTGATCCATCCGAAAATGCTGACAGTCCCAGGGGCAGAGCAGGGCAAGGAGGCGTTTCCAATTTGGGTGCATTACAGCCATAAACCTTCCTTCTCACTCCTGATAGAAGCCCTGCAGTCACCAGTCCTGACTGCAGCTCTCCCCAGGAAAACAAAATCAAACAACTGAGTCTTCAAGAACGAGAAGCCTGTTGCTTGTAGGGCAGAAAAGCAAATATATCGTTGTTATCTGGCCAGGCTGGAATCAGTGCCAGGCCCATTTGTGTGTAAACCAGCTATTAATTTCAAGCTCTTATCAGATGAGTGTGGTGGATATGGAAACAGCCACAGACACCACAATTATGTTCATGGCAGCAGGACAGGAAACTGTAGGCTTGAGCTACACAATGAAGCTGTAGGAGATATGGGCCAAAAAGAAAAACAAAAGCTTTCTTTGCTAATTAGATGTTCAAAAGCAATTAAAGAAAACCAGGGGGACTGGAAAAGCATAGAAAGTTAGTTGTCAATTAAACATTTTATTCTCCTTTATCACTTTGCCTTACTGTGAAAGTTATTTCTTAAATTAATAAAAAAAAATCTATAGTGTAGCATGGCAGCTAGGGGTTCTCTCAGGCTCGGCTGGCACCTATCATGTTTGCAAATCTCAGAAACAACCACAGACTCACCTGAACAAATAACTGGGCTTCTTGCTCCCTTATCTCTCCGTGTCACGTTGTTCAGTTTTCCAGTATTGTGTGCACCCAGCACAACAAGCCACGTCGTGCCCTCAAGCTTCCTGATATGATTAACTGTGGCATCTTTAATAAAACCTGCAGCAATATTTCCTTCTAAAGCACAGTGAAAATTTCATTTACCCCTCCTCCTTTATTTTGCCAAATTCCATTTTTATTTCATTGTATAATTAATCAGGCACTGGAGCATATGACAGCTCAGCTTAAATTTAGTTCTCACTTCTCCTGTGCAGCCTTGTCAGATACAGTTGGCTGGTTAAACACAAAGTTAGATTCATCTGAAAAAGCAACATAGAAATTGCCAATCTGGATCAGACCTTTACTCCATCTAGTCCAACATCTTGTCTCCAATGGCAACCAGCATCAGGAGAGCAAGAGGTGCACTGGGCACTGGAGGAAAACGCTACACCAAAGGGGAAGATGTTCCTAAGCCTAGTGGTCTTCTGCCATGAGAGGGTGGCTGCATCAGGCACATGAAGGACACACACACAGGCACACACCCCTCCTGCATCCTGGGTAGCTGCTGAGCTTTGTGTCCACTCTGAGTGCCTGTGAGATAGTCCAATCTACTTGGATTTTGACCAAACAGGTGGGAAAAAATGGTGCGTGCAAAGCCTGGAGGCTGCTCAAGGACTTAGAGCTTGTGAAAACATCAGTGGGTAAAATGGGACAGATTATGTTCTGCAACATGCAGTGCTCCAGGCACTAGAAGATAAAATGTGAGATCATTTCAGTCCTGTACTGATCTCTACAGCAGGGAAGCGCAGCATAGAGCTTGCTGCTGTACAGGACTGTGAGCTTTATTTGTTATTTTACCCATCTCCCATGTAGGGTTTCTTTCCTAGTACTACAGCATCTACAAGTTTCATTCGGTTCACCTTTCCACTAAATACCAAACACATGCAAAATGATTCTCAGCACCCGTGCACTAGCCTGCTTCTACTCGGCAATCCCCTGCCCTTGCCTATGGAGGTCTGTTCCAGCAGGCTGTTATTCCCATAGCTGGACAAGCTGAACTTACATCTTGCCTCTTGGTGACCTGATATAGAATCATAGAATAGTTAGGGTTGGAAAGGACCTTAAGATCACCAACTTCCAACCCCCCTGCCATGGGCAGGGACACCTCATATTAAACCATATCACCCAAGGCCTCGTCCAACCTGGCCTTGAACACTGCCAGGGGTGGAGAATTCACAGCCTCCTTGGGCAACCTATTCCAGTGCCTCACCACCCTAACAGGAAAGAATTTCCTCCTTATATCCAATCTAAACTTCCCCTGTTTAAGTTTTAACCCATTACCCCTTGTCCATCACTACAGTCCCTAATGAAGAGTCCTTCCCCAGCATCCCTATATGCCCCCTTCAGATACTGGAAGGCTGCTATGAGGTCTCCACGCAGACTTCTCTTCTCCAGGTTGAACAGCCCCAACATTCTCAGCCTATCTTCATCTGGGAGGTGCTCCAGTCCCCTGATCATCCTCGTGGCCCTCCTCTGCACTTGTTCCAACAGTTCCATGTCCTTTTTATGTTGACGACACCAGAACTGCACACAATACGAGGAATCATTTCCCAGAGCAGGACAGGGCTTGTACATGCCATGCCAGCACCTATGTTTCTTGGCCCAACTCTCCATGTCAGAACATCAAGTCACAATGCAATGTCTAGAAGATTTGGCAGGTGAAGGTCCTGGGGAACTGGGGTGCTTGATAGGAGGTGGGATGAGAAAAGGAGCTTAGGAGTAAATTCTGGTCTGGGGAGACATTGAGAAAAAGTTCTCATCTAAATAGTAGCAATCAAAGGCAAATACATCTGTATTTGAAAAACAGAAACTGAGAGAGAAACAGAGAGGAGGTATGCAAAACATTCACACACATACTACACAAGGCAAGGAGGCCTTATTAGATCAAAAGTGAAGGATTACCTTTTGAAAAATACAATAAAACAAATTAAATTGCAGAAAGTGTGACATTTTCAAAGCACGAGCAGGCTGGAAAGAGCTTTCACTGGCATCTAGTGGTATGTTGCAGAGTCACTGCCACTGATGGCACAGCTTCACTTCCAAAATGGGTTTCCCTGGGACGGCAGAAGCTCTTCAGACTGGCAGGTCACCACTTCCAAACTGGGCTTAGAAGAGGCATTTTTGTACATAGCCTAACCCTGCCCTGACAGCTCGCTCTAAGAAGTCCATTTGGGCATGAGCATAACGTACTCTGAGTCTATTTTTGACTGCACAGGCAAAACCTTGAGGTCATACCAAGGCATATTTGATCTCTTATTTTCTTGGACTTTGGGGCTCTATAAGAGTCTGAGAGACAGCAGGCAGATCTGGTCTGTTTGAAGAAGAGGGTGAGCTATGGAGGCACTCACCTGCAAAGATGCAGATATCAATGGAGGGAAACAGGATCTCTGAGAACACAAGTCATCTGCCCTGCTAGAAGCATCCACTTTAGAATAAGCTAAATTGTGTCCCAGTGGACAAACGGACACTGACACAGCTGAAATGGTATGATCCTACCACCTTACTCCAGATCCCTCTGGCAGAAAAGGAGTCACACAAATGGTCCCCACTAGCTTCTCTGTGTGTCTCCCTCATCCATGACTGTCTCAATCTCATTTCCTCCATGGTGTCACACACCAAGATGGGGCTGGCTGATGGAACTGCTGACTGGCACCATCCACAGTGTTGGTATTATGGAAACAGGAAGGATGGAAAAGCACAGACATGTTCCCTAAAGGCATCCTGCACATGAGGAATCTCCCCTCAGCATGCCTGGGGTCTACTGTTGCTTAACACCATGGTCCCCGTTGTCTGTCTGGGGCTGTGGCATCTTCATGCATCAAAGCAGAAGACCTTCAGTAAGGCAAAATGAATAAGGCTTGGGTATCCTCTGCTGTGCATGTACTGCTATAAAGGTGGTTAGATTTATGTAGCTTTTTCCTTCACTGGGCTGGGATACAAGCTGGACGGTAGGTGCACCCTAGTGCTGGTGCTGCTGCCCCATACTGCTGGCTTGTATTGGGGTAGGAAATACATCAGCAGACTTTATCCAAGACAGATACAGTGTGTAAACTAGATCTGAACTCCAGCAACCCTGTAACCTTGAACTTCCTTGCATGATTTGAGCCAGGCATCTGACCATCTCCTGCCTCAGTTTACCTGAATCAAAGTGGAGGAGAACATCATGTTTGCAGCCTTGTGTCATATTTAGGACACGATAGGAGGTGCTGGATTATGCAGGAATGAGTGTTATTATCCTACCTCAGAGGCATGGGACAGCCCTAATCCCTGCCCCAGGAAAGACGTATGCAGAAGCAGCTTTCCACCATGCACATGCTCCTAAAACTCCCTCAGAGAAGCATCCTGAGCTGGAGCTTCATGCTGAGTCTCTAAGCCTCATTGTACAGGGCAGATCCAGCAAGTTCTTGCTGCACTCTATGAGGTCCTGCTGGGACACAGCCTCTCCCAGGTGGTGCTCAATCACTGCTAAATCAAGTCCATATGCTTCAGTGTCCACCCTTGTCAAATCTGCACACCAATTTTGTGCTTTCACTGAGCAGTAAAAGGGATCCTTTCCCGGTATCTAGGCACCATCCTTGGTTGCTGCCTCCCCTCAAGGGGGCTGCAAGCTGCTGCAGACACAGAAATATTCCCTGAAATGCATCTTTCCTCTCATGACTGTTCCTGGAGGAAGTCCCAGGCAATCAGCCTGGGAGGGAAGAAGGATGCTTGCAGCACTGTGGGATAGTTTCCTGCCCACAACAGTAAAAAGAAAACGATTTCGGCTGGCACAGGCAGAAATGGCCTGATCCTGACCTACCGTCTGCCAGGGCAGAGAGGGCACTGTGGGGGACCAGAACTGCTGGGGAGAACTACAATTCCCAGCAGGCAGTGCGAGCCGGGGACCCTTCCAGCTTCCCACCAATATAGCGGTGCAGAAGAAAGGGACATCAGGGAGAAAATCCCTTCCTCTTTTTTCTTGCGCTCCCGCTAACACCTTGGCAGTGGCGTGAAAATCCTTCCCGCTGGCATGAGCTGCTGAGAGCATCTCCCCTGCCCCTTCAACCTTTGCTCTTTGTCTTTGTTTCGCTTCACCCTTCCTCCGGTAGCTCTCACTGCACTGGTCACAGACTTCCTTCAGGTCAGACCAGCTGCGGCTGCAGCACGACTCGCAGCTGAGTCGCAAACGCTGTTGTGCCACTGAGACTGCCCCGGAGGAGAGCAATGCCAGACAGAGGTTGATGGCCTGCTCAGGTAAGATGCTTTCGGCCAACTGCCTTTCATTTGTCTGTGTAGCCCAAAGAAAAGACAACGCAACCCCCTGCGATCTGGTTCTGCCCTTGATTGAATCGCTGAGCCCAGGGGGATTGCGGAGCTGGAAGTACAGGCAGGATTTGGATCTGTAGAATCTGGATACTTTTAAAAACACAATAAAATAAAAGGAATAATGTAAGCAGGAATTTCTCCTTTTACTCTGACCTGAATTCAGAGATTTGTTGCTTATTGCCAAAATCCAGAGGCAACTGAAATGCTGCTGCTGGTGAGATGTGTTCCCTGAGGGACTGGCGTGAGCATCTGTGGTGAGGAGAGAGGCTGTGGACAGGGCAGCAAGCCCACTACCCCTCTACCTGCAGCTGCACCTGAATATACTCCCCAGTGAGGGAGTTATGACCTCTCTCAATTAAAAATACACCGTTGAACTTTACTGAGTCCTCTTTCCAGCCTGGCTGCAGCTGAGGCTTTGCCTGCTGAATTAAAACCTGCTCTAGATGTCACACAGCTGCTCTCCCACCCAGGGAGAAGTCCTGGCCCCCCTCAGAGTCCCTCCTTGCTCTAGCAAACATTAAACCCTGTTGCTGCTCCAAGTGGGTGTGTATTGTCCTTCCTGGCTCAGTATAACTTTGCAGGTACTTGTTTGGGGGCGCTTTTTAATAGTTGGTTTTGTTTTCCTGTGGTACCTCTGTACTAGCATAGAGAGTTTAGCACCCTTGTGCTTCAATGGTGGCTCTTACCTACATCAGTGGGGATAGAGGTGGCTTAGCTGAAGGGGAAACACAAGCATCATGACTAAATCTGAAGTAAATTTCCCCATTATAACTGTCTCCTGGGTTAGCTGACCACGTCATTTACCACTCTGACCACTCTCCTCTGAGGAGCATGTAACGCACTCTGAAAGTTGTGTTTGGATGTTTATACTCCACATCTCTCATTGCTCGTCCCCTGACCCATGGCATCCTCCTTCCCCACTTCCCTTACACATCAGTGGCAGGCTCCCCAGGGACTCATCAGGCCACAGCCTTCTCAGCCACCCAGACCTCCAGGGACAAGTTTCATTGAGACTTTGTGTCCTTGCTGGCAGCCAGCCCCAGAACTGGTGATTTTGTCAGCCTCACCTTCACCTATCAGTACCATAAGTAAAAGCCTACACTTGCTGACAGTCGTTTTCAGCACCTCTGTCTTCCCTCAGTCTTTCTTGATCTTTCCCTACTGCAGTTCACAGTCTTGATAAAAGCTCACATCTCTGTTGGCACTGATTTATTCCGCAATGCAAATGTAAATACATAGAACCCAGACCTTGCTGTCAACTGGACCTTATTGAGGAGGACAAAGTCACTTTATCTTCCCATGTTTCACGTCTCCAGCTGTCCCCTGAGGACACCACTAACCTGTCTTCTACTGTACATGGAGGTTTGTCAGGAAAAAGCAGAACACTTCAGGTTTGCAGTGGTACCAAGCTTGGTTTTCTTTTAGGTTTGGGGGGTTTTGTTTGGTGAACAATCAGTCATCAAAAATGTTCATTAATTAAATATTTACTTATAAATCTTCTTGGACAAAGAACAGAGGACTATTCTGAGAGTAAATCAATAGTGCAGCAATAGAAGAGTCAAAACCTCATTGCAGCAGCAAGTACATCAGAGACCCCCACCCCAGTGGCAGGGAAAATGAGGCTGTTCCTAGTCCAGCCAAGCCCGTGGCTTCAAAGGTCTCAGGTTCAGCCTCCCATGGAGCTATCAAGGTGCCACCTGTGGTGTTTACATAGGGAACACAGGAGGTGGAGAAGAAATAACGACCTAACTATTTTCACTTTTATTTTTTCAGTCCAGTAGTCTCAAGTCTCCAGCAATGACAGGGAAGCCTCTCCAGGAGATCAGAGTAGCCAGGAAATGGAGTTACAAATATTGCTTCTTCAAGCTGAGTTGGAAGGAGGCTGAGAAATGAAGAAGACCACATGCTCCTTGTTGCCCCAGAGCTGGCGTTCAGCAGCAGCACCCTTTCCCCTACAGGGAATAAAGTGCATCCATTAAAGTACACTTTGATGTGTGTGTCCTGATGGTTTTTTTATCCTCCCAGACAGTCCATCCCCATAATGCTGTGGCTTTTTGTACCTGACATCTGCTTGGCAGCTCCACCACCGCACACCACTGGGTACATGGCACTGCTGCCATGAAGGACTTGTTTAAGCTTGTGGCACTGAAGACCCACGTGTGTCAGGACTGTGGCAAATCCTTCAGCAGGAAGGGGAACCTGAAGAGACACCAGCGGATCCACACAGCAGAGGAGCTCTTCACTTGTGGGGAGCATGGGAGGCGCTTCACCACCCAAGGGCACCTCATGACCCACCAGAGCATCCACACAGGAGGGAGACCTTTCTGCTGTGGAGAGTGCGGGCAATGCTTCCATCTGGAGATATGCCTGGCTGCCCACCAGAAGACACACACCAAAGGTGGTCCCTACCTCTGCACCCACTGTGGCAAGAGCCTGAGCACAAAGAGCTACTTCAGTATCCACATGCGGACCCACACGGAGAAGAGGCCATTCGCCTGCACAGAGTGTGGGAAGAGCTTTGTGAAGAAGGGCACCCTCACCACCCATAGAGAGATCCACAAGAGGGAGAAGCCCTTCAAATGCCCTGACTGCAGTAGGTGCTTTGGGCAAAGTGCCACACTGGTGGCCCACCAGAAGATACACCTCCGCGGGGGGCCTTTCATTTGTACCGAGTGTGGGAAGAGCTTGAGCACCAAAAGGTATTTCGGTGTCCACCAGAGGAACCATGCTAAGCAAAAGCAAAAGCTGCTAGAGGGACATATTAATGGTGTGTCTCTCCAGGTCATGCAGGTTAAAGAGGAGCCTGATCTTTCCTTCAGGTCAGAGGAGACTGTGTCAAAAGATATGTCCCATGAAGGAAATTCCCAGAGATGTAGCATACCTAGAATTCCATTTAATCTGAAAAGTCCTCCTTGGAAAATCCAGGTGAAGGAGGATCCAGGACCACCCACTGATGACACGGCAAACATTTCTGCAATAGCCTGCCAAAAACTTTACATCAAGGAAGAGCCACCAGAAAATCTGGACTATGGAAAGATCCCACTGATGGCTTTACAGGAGAGGCTGCTTAAAAAGGAAGAAAATGCTGATGGCCAGCATGAGCAGGAAGTCCCCATAGCCAGTAACCTGGTGCTTCATGTGAAGGAAGAACCACAGGAAAGCATTGAGTTTGGGATTCATTATGGGCAGGAGCCAAACCTCAATGCTATCCAGAGGATCCACATTAAAGAGGAACCTCATATGGAGGCCAGTCACCAGGAGGGCCAGAGCCCAAAGAGGAAGCAGAAGAGCTATTTGTTCACCAAAGAGAGGATGCTGGAGAACCAGGAGAAATCCACGTCCAAAGACCCCTCAGTGAAAGGAGCTCCCAGGGGTGAACGGATTTTCCCCTGTCCTGAGTGTGGGAAGAGTTTCAACCAGAAATCAAACCTGACCAGGCACAGGAAGATCCACACGAGTGAGGGGCCATACAAGTGCAGTGAGTGTGGGGAGAGCTTCCGCATGAACCGCAAGCTGATCCGCCACCAGCGAGTCCACATGAGCGAGCCCTTCAAATGCACCGAGTGCGGGAAGAGCTTCACCCAGCGGTCAAATCTGGTCCGGCATCAGAAGATTCACACCAAGGAGGAGCCCTACCAGTGCCCTGAGTGCGAGAAGACCTTCAACCAGAAGGCCAACCTCTTCCGTCACCAAACCATCCATGTCCGCATGGGGCCATGCAAGTGCACCAAGTGTGGGAAATGCTTCCCCCATAAGCGCCACCTGATCAAACACCAGCTGCTCCACTCCCGAGGTGGGGCCTACAAGTGTGGGGTCTGTGCGAAGCGTTATCGGCTGAAGAAGTACCTGAGGAGGCACCAGAAGATCCATGAACGGGAAGGAGCTGCTCCCTGCTTAAAACAGGGGGAGGCCACAGGGACCAGCAGTGGACCCCACCACAACAAACATAGAGTGTTGTACCCCATGAATAGCAAAGAGGAACGCTGAGAGGACGTGGTGCTTGGCCTGTGGGAGTCCTTTGGGAAAGGGGAGGGATGGAGACAAACTCTACTCGCCTTATGTGTGCAGTATGTGGGCACTGGGAGGTCAACTTGAGGGTCCAGTGGTGACAATGGGGCAGAGCACTGCTGGAAACAAGTCCTCTGCAGCTTTTCTGAGGACAACCCCCAGAGCATCATTTGCCTACAGGGGTGGGATGGGGCTGGAGAGCCAGGTCTCCTCAGAACGCTTAGAGATGGAGGGATAAAAGCTTGGCATCCTTTGTAATGGTATGGTTGTGCTTCTAAAGAGTGCCAAAGTTGTGGATGCTAAAATTGTCTTGGGTGGGCAGTCTGGCTAGGGGGACCAGGCAGGATTTATATTTGTCAGAATACTGTGTTTCTGAGAATGCTGAAGGAACCTCTCCCATCTAGTCAAGGGTTTAAAGCAAGGGCCAGTTCCCATGTAGCTCTGATCCACACCTTGATCTTACTGGGCTGATGGACCTTAGTAAACCAGGTGTACATATCTGGAGTAAACTATTGCCAGCCAGAGTGGGGTTTTAAGCCCTGAATCCCACAAACCAGGTTCCCAAATTGGCTTAAACCAGGTCCATAAAATTAATGACTGTTTTTGCAAAGCTAGCCCAGAGACCAACAGATTATGATTTGTGCCCCCACAGGCCCACTGCATGGATGTAAATGGGGACAGCTTTTCTTAGCACTGAGTTTTACATCTCTGATGAACAGGTGGCTTTGTCACCACAAAGTCTCAGAGGCATCAGTGACTTCACCAGCTGGAGCAACACCAGGGCTGGTTCTCAGCCACCTGCTTCCCTACCTGTTACTGTGAAGCTCTTGGTAGGATATTGACTTCATTGGGCAGGATTTAGGGAATTCAAAGCAAGCAGAAGGAATAGCTGGAAGTGTCTTCAGTCTTTAAGGACTGAA